GAGAGAGAGAGAGAGAGAGAGAGAGAGAGAGAGAGAGAGAGAGAGAGAGAGAATTCTGTATTGGATGTGTGTGTGTGTGTGTGTGTGTGTGTGTGTGTGTGTGTGTGTGTGTGTGTGTGTGTTTTCACAACTGCACAAAAAAAGCATGGCTGCCAGAATCTTTCAGCTGACTTATTAGGAGGTTGAACCTCGGCCGTCTGCCCGGGGTGCATTTGACTGATGGAGGTGGTCTCGTCAGCTCACCCCACCGGCCCACATTATTCTGGTACAGCCAAAGAAACACAAAATTTGCATCAGGGCGACCTAGCACAAAATTCGTGCCAAGGAGAAATTCACTTCAAGGGGACCTAGCCCGCCCGAGTATTTTCTAAAATTTCACTCCCATGTCTCCACCCCAACCCATCCAGGCCCACGTGAGCATTATAACCGCCTGCACATGGGACCTGATCATTTGATGGCCACACCCTGGCCGCCCTAAACTCCCCGACATGGCGCTCTCCAACTTGGCAGAGAAGGAGCCATGCAGGCTCTGTTGTGCTTCTGGCAGCTCAGTGTTTACTTGCGTATGCGACCAACAACACATCACCCTCAGCTGGCAGATGTACAATTCACACACCCACAAGGGGATCTGCTTGCCGTGTCTGTCATATAGCTGTCACTGACATCATAGTGCGCATACTTTCATCCTACAACATACGTATGTTTTCCAACTGTGGGCTCTGCGAGGACGCCTGCAACATCACAAGAGCAATGGAGCCAAATTCATGAAATACAAAAAAAAAAACACCCCCCCCCCCAAAAAAAAAGAAAAGAAAAGCGGTAATGCTCATTGCTTCGACGAACAGGAGAGCACAAGGCAATCTGTACATCAAGAAAGGCTGACCTATCCCTCCATCCTTCCGCCCATCCGTTCCGTCCACGCCCCCATTCACCGAGTAGAAGTCCCATTTGTACAAATGCAGCAACATCCATGGTTTTTGCCACCATCCCATGTCTTAAAGCACCTGTACATCTGGAGAATCCGAATGAGCTTCTCCGAAAAGTTAGGGAGGGACTCGGTTTCCAGGATCGCCCCAGAAATTCATCCTGCCAGATGAATAGAGGACTGACAAAGGCTATGTAAATGGGATGCTGGACCCGGTTTCCAGCAGGTGACGCTCCCCACCAATAGATGGAGTCTCTACCCAGGTGTTAGTGGTGTCTGCTCTTATCAGCAACACTAACACTGGTAGGGTTTTGTACCGAGAAAAAAAAAAAAGCATTGTGTCTTAGATTAATGACTCAATTTTTG